CCAGCGATTACCAAGTGCAACGTGCAGAGATCTGGAGCGTCGAACGTTGAGAACGTGCCAAGTGGAATCATCTCGAAGTAGTGTAACTGCCCGACGGTTACTTGGGATGTTTTAGTATAAATAGTAGTAGTTCACGCAGTTTCTCACGTGTGTTCACAATTATATACAAAGTCACTCATATAGATTCGAGTACCCAGCGTGTGAGAAAGAATTGTTGAGAATGTATGTGTGAAACACCACCTTTATTAATCAAAGTCATTTACTTTTCCAGAAACTTTACTTGCTTTCTTCTTTACTTTCCCTGTCGAAGTCCTTTACTTCAAGCCTTTATTTATTTTACCAAGCCTATTTCTCCATGCAATTTACTTAAAGCCTCTTTATTCTATTGTTATTTAACCATTATCCAACTTAATCAAAACCTCAAAATCAACCTATGTCCTAGGATCAATCTGATCGATCCTGCGAGTAACCAAATAAGTAACCATTTGGAGGATCAGCGGTTGTTTACCAATAACCACGGTAAACAAATTGGCACACCTGGTGGGACTGTGTGTTGATTTTTTAACATAATCTCATCTTTTTCGAGGAGTGTTGCATGTTATTGAGAAGTGGTAGAATATACACTAACGATAACAATACTGCTACAAGAAGGGAAGAGATGGCGAATCCGCCAAACAATAACGAGATCCCACAAACAAATGTGGGAGCAACGGTTATCCCGACCGTAAGGGAAGCGATAACCGCTGGTTCGACACCAGCAGTAACGGTCACAGCAACGGGGCCATTACCTCTGTTCACAGGCCCCAGAGTGCCTTTGGGAACTCCCCCACCAAGGGGAAATCTAGGCACAAGGCCTTTCGTTCCCCCAGGATTTATGACAGGCGGTCATAATCGAGAACCACTCTATGGCATGCCAACTTCTGACTTGGCTAGCCTGACGAATGCTGCGTCCACTTTTTCAGACCCTTTAGTGAGTGCCTCTTCGCCACTCCAAGGTTCTGGAGTAGGTATGGCAAATAGAAATAGGACCCAACTCTTAGGAGGAACGTCCCAAGTAGCACATGGCCTTACAAATGCCTCGACAGCAGTCTTGAGGCAACAAATGGACGAAAGCAACCATGATATGGTCCAAATGTTGGCACAAACTTTAAGTACAGTGCTGAACCCTCTAATACAAAACACTACTCAATCGAATCAGTAGATGACAGCGCAAATGACGCGTTTGACTGATTTCTTTGGAGTACCCCAACCTATTCGACAGCCCCAAAGGGCGCAAATAAGGGGAAACCAGGGTGTATTCTTAGAGGAAGAAACCACTATTAACCAGGTCCAACAGCCTGTCGAAGAAAACCTTAGGGCACGATTGGAGCAACCTGTCGAGGAACCTAGGGTAATAACCCCAGAGGTAAGGTTAGTTAACAGAAACCAAAATGCTGACGAAGTAGTTCAGCATATCCAATACCAAAACATGGGTTTGGAAAATAATCTGGCAACCATGATCGAAAGGATCATGACTCAAAATGGGATGAACATGGGCTTTCGAAGGCCCAACTTTACGTCCCCGCTGTCAGAATACGTGTTACAAACAGACTTACCTCCTAGATGTAAAGTCCCCAAATTCACTAAGTTCTCAGGGGACACGACAGAATCTACTGTCTAAAGGGTGTGTCTGAAATCTAAAAGCTAAGTTGTACAGAGAATGTATGAATGCAAAGGATTATATACAAAAAAAAGAAAGTTTTTATTAGTGGTGCATGCTGCGGTTGCGAACCTTTGTTCCTACGTACCATTGTCCATGCAATGGGAATCAAGACACTCGTAGTTCCCATCAAAAGTTTTGGTGAGTTGCATGCTTTTTTATGGATAATGCCATGTTCGAATCCTTGCGGTTAGGATTGTAACTCGTGCTTGGAGTTGTAGCTCGTAAGAGACTCATGCTCGACCCCTTGCACACTTAGCATTTCCAGGTTGCTTGAACTTGAAACAACATACCCTTATCGAAAAGGTTTTAAAAGAAAATGTTCGAAGACAAAAAGAGTTTGCATTGGTTTGTGTTTTTCACCTTGAAGAAATGATTTAAGTATTATTAGAGTGTTTTATGAATTTTTCAAAGAAAAAGGTTTTAGTTTATTAGCATTATTTGAATTAAAGTATTAGATTTACTATTATTGTAAAATAATTAAATAAATTATTCTAGTAGTATGAAAAAGGGCATAGTCGGAATAGTGATATTAGGGGGTCAAAAGGCTAGATAAGTAAAAACAAGAGGAATAGAAGAGTGTTTTGTTTTGATCGATCCTAAAAACGAGAGAAAGCAGACGCGAGAAAGAGGAAGAGCTAGGAAGAGAGGTACTCTTGTTGAAGCTTGATGAATCTACAATCTAAGGTAAGGGTGGGGTTCCGACTCTCTAATAGGTGGTATAATTGTGGGTATGTGATGATATGAATGTTAGGTTTTGGGTGTAGATTATATTTTGAAATTGATTGTTATAATCAATTGAATTAATTAAATTGCGGTGTTAATTTAAGTGGAATTGATGTGTTATGTGGGTTGAAAATTATAGGATTTGATATGTTTTATTGTGTTCACAAAACTGAATTTTGGGTGAAAAGGGTTGAATTCCAGTAGCAGAAAAATATTAGTTTTTGAGACTGAAATAGTGAGGTGACCGGTTACCTCAGAATGGTAACGGTTACATCATATTTTTTTTTGAAAATATTGGTTACTGGTTCACTGAAGTAATCGATTACCTTTCTGGAGTAACCGGTTACATCGATCAAAAATTGCATAACAGGGGCAAATTAGGGGTGAAGTAACCAGTTACTTGGTTGAAATAACCGGTTACCTTACTGAAACTGTCATATTTTGTAAACTTTAAAAATTAATAACTTTTGACTCGGGTGTCTGTTTGGCACGCCGTTTGGACCGTTGGAAAGCTAAAAAATATTTTCTACAATGCGCTATTCATTTTGATGGCAGTAGACTAATATTTTATTAGAAGAATTGTGATGTGTGTATGTTGTATGTGTCATAATGTAAAATATTGAGATTGAATGTATCAATGTTGTATAAATGATGTATGAAGGAATTACAGATTATATTGCAGTATGACGATGTTGTTGTTGGCACGAAATGACATAATGTTGAGAGCTCATACCATGTAATTTCATAGTTGTATTGTTGCATGTTGCATGCATGCACCGTTGAGGACTTATGCCCTGTTGTTGGCCTGAATTGGCAAATTGTTGAAGGCTTATGCCATGTTATTGTCCTATTTGGAATTGGAGAGAACTTATGTCCTGATGGCACCACATGCATTTTTCATCAGTGTCAGTCGTATTGTATATTATTGAATTGTTGATATGATGATGAAGTTTAGTTGCATAATTGGTATGCATTGTATGACGGATGATGATAATTATATATGCTTGTATAATCATTATGAATTATGGTTGATGATGTTGAGCATGAAATCTTGCATGATGTATCTGTCGTATACTTATTACTCCCTCCGTTTATTTTTAAGTGTCATTTTAACATAAAGCTCTTCAACCAAGATAGTGAATTATTAGAGTTATTTTTCCTATTATACCCTCATTTATTTTCTCTTTCCAAATAAATTCAATCATATACCATCTCTCTTTTTCCAATAACTAATTAAGAAAATAATTAATTTTATGGAAAATGTGAAGTGGAGTTATTGAGAAAGTAGGGATATAATTGACAAATGATAACATTAAACTATAAAAACGACACTTAAATAGAAACAAAAAAATTCTTCTAAAACGACACTTAAAAAGGAACGGAGGGAGTATTATATAACTTATTATATTGTTGTGATATCTCACTGTTTTATTGAAATGATTCTTTTACGGCATCGCTCAGGTACAGAAGATTAGAGTCGTTGTTAGCTGAGAAGTCTTACCTCGTATTGCGTAGATTAAGTCAGTGTTACCTCTGATACATAACACTGGGGGATGAACGCTTGAGTGATCTGCTTAATTGCTATTTGTTTTGATGATTTTGTTGGAATATTATAAACTCCCTTTTTATTCGATTAAACGTTGATTTATGATTAATTGAAGATATTGAATGATGAACATGATTTCTTTTCCGCTGCAATAATAAAACTGAAGTTTGAGGACTATGTTAAAAATGTTATTTGTTCATCCGAAAATCTGTTATATATCTGTTTATTTATAATTGAACATACTTTTGATATGTTAAAAAATATGACATCTTATTCTTCATATTTAATTTAAAAATTAAATTATTTTAATTTTTATTAAATTACCGATAAGAAAAACAGGGTGTTACAATATGATTTCTTATATTATATGAATGATGTCAAAAAAAATGGTGAAATCTTAAATGGAGTGCAACACAAAGTTTTATCTTTCACTCCACGCCAAATAAAGAGCAATCTCCATTATTCTCGATAGATAGACTAAACCTCTAACTACAAAAAGAACTCCCCTAGAGAATGAAGTAATCCATCCCCCATTTGTCCCTAATTTAACCTCCTGAATAGCTAAGAAGCCTAACATGTTAGATTGAATAAGCTTCCCTACTCCCCTTTGATCCCTAACATTTAATTTTTAAAGACCATATAAATATGATCATTGAAAACTTATTAGACTTAGCCGACACATCCCTCTCTTCCAACTAAACCAACCTAGATTCCCTCTCTTCCAACTAAACCAACCTAGATTCCTCAGAAAAATCACCTCTCTCAAAAGTGAAGCCAATCTCCTTAAACCTAGCCATAATCTAAGATTTATCAACCTCGAGCAGACTAAAGCTGGAAAAATATCTGAATATAACAGATGATTATTTGTTCAACATAAATTTTAATATTATATATTTTATATTTTACATATTATTATTTTCTTTTTATTAAATATATCATTGTTAGGAAAAACATAAGATATATGATGATGATATAATGGTTATATGAGAAAACATTATGATTATTTATACACTTACATATGAATATCCATCAAATGATGATTCTAGGATTAAGCACAGCATAGTGCAGAAGCTCTTCATCTTGTTTAAATAACTCCATATCATCCTCATCAAGAGTAACAAAAGCTTCAACTCCATCACCATCTTTTGTATCCATCAAAGCAATTGTATTACTCACCAACTTATTCACACAACAATTCCACACTGGTTTCCCCCACCCAAAATCAAATTCAAGCACTGGAAATTTACACCAACTAGAACATTTGTAAATTGCCACACTCTCCTCATTCTCACTCCCAATCAAAGTCTCAACCCTATCTTTGAAACTCTCCATCACCACTTTAAACCCACCTTCCTCCTTAAAAGTCTTTGCTTCATTCTCTATAAACTCTTTCATACCATTTCTCATTCTCTTCACCGTCTCGTGTAATGCCATGTGGCATTCTTCTTCAACTGTCACCACAAACGACCACACAAAGTTCCCAACTGCTGTTTCTGGTACAGCGGGGTCCATGCGTGGACGGAGGTTTACAGCTTGAAACAAAACCGAACGCTTAAACGTCCGCGTTTTGGAACGAGAAGCTGAAAGAGCACATCTCCAAATGAGAGCTAGAACAACCTCGACTCTCGAAGGGAAAAACTCGATTTCCCTTTTGATTTCCCTCTTTAGTTCTTCTATTTTGCATGCATGAAAAATAAATCTTCTAGAAGTAAATTTTTTTGATGAAGGTGTAAAGGAAGCGGACATCTCGGGGAGTTCTCTAGGAGGAAAGAGAGTGGAGGCGGTGGTTAAGTCAGGTAGTGGAACCGGTGTGGCGGCGCATACGGCGGTCCAAGTGTTGAGAAACGTCATGAAGGTGTTAAAGTCACTGATCTTGTGTGTGAGGGATATGGTAAGTGCGGTGGAACCGCAGCTGAACAAAGTGAAACGGACTAATAACAGCATGTTTTGGTTTTCAGTGGTTGGAACTGGGAGGAAGCATTCGAGGGTGTTGAAATCGGGGTTGGTGAGGAGTTGTGAGAGAGTGGTGGTAGTTTGAGACTCGATGAATAAAACGCCATCGTCGTTGCAGTGAATGGTGGTGCCAGTGCGGGTGTCGGTGGAGTGTTGGAGACGACCGGCGAAAGGGTAAAATAGGGATAATGTTTGGGAGAGTGAGGTTTGGAGGAGTTTGGAGTAATGAGAGAAGGAGCTATGAGAATGAGAGGAGTATTTGTTTGGGAAGAAGAAGGTGGAGTTGCCATGGATGTTGGGTGAGAGTTGATCAAGTAAAGAGAGTTTGAAGATTTTAAGGTTTGGTGGTGTTGGTTTGGAGGGTTTGATGAGGAATGTGTTTAATGTTTCAAGTTTTATGTTGTGGGAGATGATGTTACTGTTAATAACTGTTTGGTTCTGATTCTTCATTTTGTTGTGTTTTTTTGTTGAGTGTCGATAGGAGTCTATATACAGAGTGAGTGTGTGATGATCATATAATTTGCTTCACCGAATTAATTAATGGTTTACTTGTTGCTTGGCGGTGGCGGTGACTACGCCATCAATGGACCACTATTCACTTCATTCCCAAATTTACATCATTTAAAAAATAATTTTTTAGTGGCTTAAATCATTTTTATTTATTTCACTAAGTTTGTGTTTTTTTTATTTTTATGTTTGTCCCTTTATTTTTTTCTTTAGAAATAAGCTTTCAATTTTGATTTTAACTTTAAAATTAAAATTTGCAAAAAAATTTAAAATAAAATTCACAAAAAACTTACTGATTTTCTTACAAATTTTAACTTAAAAATTTAAATCAAACAAAATTTAATATTTAAAAATTTTATTCAAGAAAAAAACAAAAATAAAAAATACGTCCAATTTACAGGGATAAAAAAAACTAAGTTTATTTTAAAAATATAAAAATTAAATTATGTGCTACTCCCCAGCATGATTTATAAGGAAAAAATAACTTTTACATTTATTAAGAATAATAATTAAGTGTATTTAATTTTTTTATTTCATACAAAAAAGATAATACAATTATTAACTTATTTTTAATTAAATTATTATCTATTAACAATATTAAGAAATTAATCAGAAATAGTTTTAAAATATAAATATTAAATATGTCTAAATTTATTGATATTTATTTATATTTAAGGTCAAATTTTTTAAAAAGTTTTTATTTATAAATAATCCCGGAGGAAATACTATACAACTCCTTATGTCACAATACTTGATGTTGCTATTGGGGCACACAAGGATAATCAATAGACTCAATCACCAATCCCATACAAAAGACAAGGATTGAATTATGTGAGGTTCTTTGAAATTACGGTAATTTGATAATTTTGTCTTTATCTTCCTTTAAATCAATCACTCTCAGCCAATAACATATTTTATTTATTCTTTCATCTCTTAAATATATTAAAAATATATATTAAAGTCACTCAAGCCAAATTCAATTATTTTAAGAGTGAATCAAGAAATTATATTCTTTGAATATGATTGTTCATGACATATTTTTGTTAGAAAACTAAACTGAATTAACCGAATTATTATATAAGTTTATCCGAATCGACCGAATTATTATATAAGTTTATCCGAATCGAATTGAACTGTTTTAAATTTTTTAAAATTAAATTAAATTAAAATTTTTTAATTTAATATAATTGTTTAGAATTTCAAACCATATCAAATTATTAAAAATTATTTTTTTTCAAACCGAATTATTTATTAAATAACTAATTATACTTGGTTTTAAAATTTTTTAATTAAAAAACTTATTTAAATTTATTTTAATTATTTTTTAATTATTTTATTTTTGAAAAAAAAATCATTTTTTGGATATTTGAAAAAATCAACTTTTCATATATTTAGAAAAAATCAACTTTTTTTATTTTCGATTTTTTATATTTAGCTTTTTGTATCTCTCTGAATCTTCAACGTATTTTCCAACAATCAAGTATAATTTAGTTGGAAACTGTTCTGGACTGGGTCCGACAGGCCCAAGAGCATTGCAAAGGCCCAGTCCAAATGGACTTACAAGGGCCACGCCGACCAAAGAGTGAGACCGTGCCCGACGCGCAGTCGCTGACTCGACGATACGCCTCCAGCTCGACATGAGGTGGTCCAGCACCACAGTCTGAGGTCCAGCTCGACGTTACCTCGAGCACCCCAGCTAGGGAAGACTCAGTCCACTGTTCCCCAACGATACTCCGAAAAGACCGCATCTCCGTCCGCCCGCACTTCACGCAGAACATCCAGGAAGGGGACCACGTGCGGGTCCCCACTACGCACGTAGAACCTGGCAGTTCCTCCATTGTGCCAAACCTGCCCGGCCCAATGAAGGAACCTTGGCCCAGCGCTGGGGGCTATAAATACCCTCTGCTTCCAGAGGGTCAGATTTTCATCATTCTAACCTTACACTTGCTATTATCTGCTCGTACTCCTACTTACTTCAGCATCGGAGTGCCTTGCAGGTACCCCCCACCTCGTTCAAAAAAGCTTTCTGCTCGGAGCCAGCCGTGACGGTCCATTTCTGATCAGGTCAGATCAGTGGCGCCGTCTGTGGGAAACTAGCTTCCCCGTCTAACGAACAATTCTAAAGACCAAAGCTCAATTCAACTACCTGTCATGGCTGATCCAGCTCGCGACGAGCAGCCCGTCCGTGTCGCCGACACTAATAACGGTACCGCGGACAAGAATGGACACCTCGATAACCCCGGTGATCCCGGCCACAGTACCATCCCTGCGACAACCGCCCCTGGACCTTCCTCCTACAGGGACGGGGCTACTGCATCATCCTCTTCAACCCCTCCGGCACTCGAAGACGACCCGGTAGCCCTCGCTCATTACAGAGCTGCCCGGTTCTATGAAGTCCCAGTTCCCGCCGGGGCAGATGCCACGACTCAGGCGCTGTTCGCGGCCATTAATCAGACGAACTATCTCATCTTCGCCCAAGGAGAAAGATTAAGGGCACTTGAAGATGATCGACGACCCCCGAGGAGGCATCGGAGGCCACACTCTCCACCCCCTCGGGTCACAGAAGTTCGACACCCTTCTCCCCCGCGGAGACACTACAGGGAGAACTCCAGGAGCCCCTCTCCCCGGCCAAAGCAGAGGCGGCCCTACTATGAGAGGCAGCCCGCCGTCACTGCCGGAGAGACCAGTCGCGACCCATCAAGGCACGACAAGAGGCACGCCGGGGACGGGCGCGTGACCTTCAACCACCGAGCATCACGCTCGAGGGAAACTCAGCACGATCATCGTGCCAGACATAACTACAGGACCCCTTCTCTTTCTCCGGAGAGGAGCGACGAAGACGACCCCCGCGGTCCCCTGTCGCAGGCCATCATGGATGCACCCATCCCCCCGGGCATGGAGAAGCCCCCGCACCTGAAGGAGTATGACGGAGTAGCGGACCCGATCGACCACATTGACGGGTTCGAAGCCATGCTCCACTATCATAATGTCGGGGGGCCCATCAAGTGCCGTCTTTTCCCCACGACTCTCAGGAAGGCGGCCATGGACTGGTATAAAGGACTCGCCCCGGGCTCAATTACGTCGTGGCGGAACCTGAAGAGCCAGTTCATCAGTTCCTTCACAGCTTCTCGGCGCCATCCGAAGACCGAGGCGGCCCTCGAGGCCATCATCCAAAGACAGGATGAAACTTTGAGGGAGTTCATCAACCGCTTCAACCGAGAAGCAATACAGGTCCCCTGCGCGGACCATATGAAAAGATACTTGCTGGAGAGGGGCCTCCTCCCCGGCACAGAATTCAGAAAGGCTGTGGGTATTGAACCACCTCCAACTTTTGATGCCCTCCTCGACAAGGCCCGAGCATACATGGACTACGAGGAGAGGGAAGCTTCCAACAGGGCCCGAGACTCCAGGGCTCGCGCTCCCAACAACGCCAGCAGCTCACGACAAGAGCCTCCTCCCCGACGTACCGGGGAGAAAAGGAAAGAAGATCGACCCCGGGAAGTCCGGGAACAAAGGGGCCCCTCGGGCCGCTTCACCGAGTACACTCCGCTCACGGCTTCCCGCGAGCGTATTTTGGCGGAGTGTGCGAGTACAGATTTCAGAGACGGTGGCGTCAAGCGTCCCCGACCTGCTCCCGCCAAGCCAGGGGCAGATAAAAATAAATATTGTCAATACCATAGGAGTCATGGTCATTTGACAGAGGACTGCGTCCACCTCAAGGACGCCATTGAAACCCTCATCAAGGGAGGGAGGCTCGCACAGTACAGGCGAAACGACGCTCCCCGTCGTGACGCCCATGAAACCAAGGAGCCCGAAGAAGATGCCCGACCATCAGACGAGTCGGTGCCTATCCAGACCGCCTTCTCGGTAACCAGGCCCGAGGATTTCGACGTTCCCGAGCTCCTGCAAGAGCCCCTGACAACACACAGCCGGTGGGAATACTTCCCCTCCGCCATGGTCATCGACGGGGGCGGGTTCAACGACCTCACCATCAATTCAGCTAAGAGGAAGTTGGACGAGCTGGTCGACATCGCTCCTCCACAAACTGTAACGTTCGAAAGGGTGAAGGGCAGGTCAGAGCCCATCACCTTCTACCTGGAAGAACTCCCCGGCGGAGCCCCGAACGCGGTCATCCCCTTACTGATAAGGGCAAAAATGGCCAATTTTGACGTGCATCGCATCCTGGTCGACGAAGGGAGTTCCGTCGACGTGATGTACAGCCAGCTGTTCCGGACCTTACAACTGGACGACTCACATCTCTCTCCGTATGTGGGTTCGGATCTTCAAGGCTTCAACGGCTCGACTTCCAAACCTTGGGGTTATGTCGAGCTCCTGGTTACGTTCGGAGAAGGAACGGCTATGAGACAGGTTAAGGTCCGCTTCCTCGTCATTGATTGCCCGTCTCTGTACAATTGCATCTTGGGGAGACCAACACTGGCGGAGCTGACAACGGTGCCCTCGACTGTCCATCTGAAGATGAAGTTCTATACCAAAAGGGCACGGGTAGCCACCATCCAAGGAGACCTCGCCGCTGCCCGCAGGTGCTTCAACGCTGCTTCAAAGGGACGGGATACCGTCGACGTAGGGACCAGACCCACCAAGAGGACAAAGCAGGAGCCCGACAGAAAAGCATCCCCCGAGGAAGAAGTCCAGAAGGCCCCACCAAAGGTCGACTCCATAGCCCTCGACGCTCGCTTCGATCAGGACGAGCCATCCAGCAGCGAGCAAATCCCACTCCGACCTATTCCGGACGGTGATTTTGAACTCGTTCCCCTCGGCGCAGACCCGACCAAGGGAGTGAAGATTGGCAAAGACCTCCCTGACTTGGCCAGGAAGCAAATCAAGGTCTGTCTGCGCGAGAATGCTGATCTCTTCGCCTGGAGCGCTGCAGAGATGCCCGGACTCGACCCTGAGGTCGCCTGTCACCACCTCGCCATTGATCC